CTAATTTAAAAAGTAAACTGGTTCTTTCAATAGAAATTAAAAAATACATATGATTTACACAGCCTACTTCATTTGATTGCATCTTTGAGATTACAGTATTAATTCTGAGTGCTCATAGAATTACTTTTTATTTTTGGAATACTCATAATTTCATATCATTTCTATTTTAATTGCTTTTAATAAATCAATTTTCTTCATAAATTAAATCGAATTTGCTAATAATTTTGCTTGAAAAAAATCCTTACTTAATCTATTGTATTAGAATTAATACATTTTTACTATATTTAGAATAATAATATATTTGTTAATATTTAAGATTTATTTGGATTATATTAGTATATATTTATTCTTGCTTTTACTACAAAAAGTAAATTATATATATTGAAGAAAAATAATAATATCCTCAAATTTAAAGAAAAAAAGATTTAAGAAAATAAAAGTAAGTTAAAATTTATAAATATCACCATATTTTGAGTATACAACTTAATTTTTTTAAATAATCAATAATAAATCTTAAAATTAAAATAAATTAATAACATGAATTAAAATATCATAATTTTCTTTCAAATTATTATTTGATCATCTTTCCCTTTTTTTAACCATTTTCATAATTTTGTGTATATAAATAAAACGTTGATTACAAATTTCGATCAAAATTTTCATCCATATCAGTCCATATACCATTTCTCATACCTTTCTCATCATAACTTCCACCTCCACTAATTTATATTTAAATTTTATATTTTTACATATGTCTTTCATCATATATTGTTTTCCATTACCCAACCTTGATTCCTTACTTATATTATCCTTAGTAAGATATTTCACAGAAACTAAAAATGTTAAAAAATGATACCAACTGAAATTATCATGCAACTCAGTCCATATTCCATTTTTTATTCCTTTTTCATTATAAATTCCTCCTGATCTATAATAATTAGTAAAATACTAACATAATTTTATTTTAATCAATAATATTCCAAAATCCAATCCTTTTTCCATTTTTATATTCTCCTTCTTCAGTGATTTAACAAGAACTATATTAAACACGATTAAAGAACCCCCAAAAATTTTTAAATAATTCTATCCATTTTCCTTATTTAATTCCATTTTCATCAAAATGACCACATCCCCTTTAGATATCTAATTTTCATACATTAATGTTGTCATGTAATAAAAATATTTCCAATTTCCATACCTGTACCCATTTTAATAACATCCATGAAAAGTAATATAACAGTGAATAATAAATATATTTAATAATTTACCAATTAAATTTTTCATGTACCTCAATCCATTAACCAATATTATATCCTTATTAATCATAATGTCCTCCTCCACTTAAATTAGTATTTAAAATACATGATTTCATCTAAGTATTTTATTACCCATTTTCCAATCTTGGCTCCATTTAAATATTAACCAATCTTCAATGCAAATAATCCACTATAAAATTCAAATGATTTTGTACAATAGTTTATATTAGAATCTATATTTTTCTACTTTTAATTCTAATGTTAATCTTAAAAA